TCCCCGTAACTTCTGCCTGCAATGTCGGTGGGGAGTGGGGTTGAGGGAGACAAATTGCTACTGGAGTCCCAGGCGCTCATCTTGAAGGGCCCGCACACGGACCTACTCAGACTCACTCCCTCTGAGCCCCAGCACTGAGGCAGCGGCTCGAAAGGCACCAGAGACACCCAGGGAGAAACCAAATGGCCTGGCTCCAGGGCGAGAACCGGAGGGGCAGCGTCCTCCCAAACAGAAGGGCGGGCAGAGGCCATTGTTCCTTTGCTGAGCACTCCCCCAATAAAGCCTATAGGTTGGTCCCTGGTGATTCCCTGAGACCCCACTCCACCCAACTTGTGGGCCCACCTGAGCCACTTCCAGTGGCTTTTCCATGCACATGGCCTGTCTTCAGTCATGCTATAGACTTTCCTAAAATCTCTCACATGAGCAGCCCCTGGTTTCAGCGTACGCTGTGCCTCTCACAAAGTGGGCCCGATCCCAGCACAAGTGGCAGCCAGTCTTGGTTTGCAGCTTGGCCTCTCCTGGGCACCCCCAAGCCTGGCATAAGCAGTAACCATCTGCAGACGGCTTTGCAGCTCATGCCAGGTGGCCTTGGGCAGGCACGGTGGCAGCTGACCTTGGGCTGCACCTCCCGGAAGGCCCTGGAGCCAGTGTGCCAGGTGGACAGCTTCAGATCACATCAAAGCACCATCCAACCACCTCCTCAAGCAACACATTCAGCAGCAGACTCAGGGCCCCACTGAAGCATCAGTAAGTCCCGCTCTGTGGTGTCGGCCCCTGCACCACAGATCCTCCACGGTGGTCTCAGCAGTCTTAGCAGCTGATAAGTTGGGGGCAAAACCCTTCCATTAATTTGCCAACAGCACTCAAGGCTCAAGTACAATAGAAGCGTGTACACAGCCCACACTGGGGTGGGGGCACCCCAGGAGCACCCAGTTCAGGTGGTCGGGGAGACTGTGCCTGTGCACCCTATAGGAAAACCACTGCATAAGACCATCTACCAAGCCTCAGAGATGTGGCCGTTCTGTCTCATGCATACAGACAAACACAGGGAGACGGCCAAAACAAGGAATACGTCCCAAATGAAAGAACAGATCAAAACTTCAGAAAGGAACTAAATGAAATGAAGACAGCAACCTACCAGATGCAGAGTTTAAAACACTAGTTATAAAAATGTCCAATGAACTTGGGGGAAGAGTAGGTGAACTTAGTGAGAATGTCAACAAAGAGATAGGAATCATAAAAACAGAGATATAGAACATAAAAAAGAATGAGTCAGATATGAAGAATACATTAACTGAAATGAAGAACACAGGGAACCAACAATAGCACGGATGAAGCCAAGAATCAAGTCAGTGATTTGGAAGATAAGGAAGCAGAAAATACCCAATCAGAACAGCAAAAATAAAACCAATCCCCAAAAATGAGAACAGTATAAGGAGTCTCTTGGACAAGTTCGAGCATACCAATATTCACATCAGGGGGGTACTGGGTGGAGAAGACAGAGAACAAGAAATTGAAAATCCATGAAAAAATAATGACAGAAAATTTCCCTAACCTGGTAAAGGAAATAGACCCACAAATCCAGGAGGCACAGAGAGTCCCAAACAAGATGAATCCAGAGAGGCCCACACCAAGACACATCATATTATAAGTAAAATGCAAAGGTTAAAAATAAAGTAAGTAAAAAGTAGCAGGAAAAATGCAGTTAGTTATCTGCAAGGGAGCTCCCAGAAGACTGTCAGCTGATTTCTCAATAGGAACTTTGCAGGCCAGAAGGAACTGGCAAGAAGCATTCAAAGTGATGAGGAGCAATGACGTACAGCTAAGATTGTTCTATCCGGCAAAGATAGTGTTTAAAATCAAAGGACAGGTAAAGAGCATCCAAGACAAGTAAAAGCTAAAGGAGTTCATTACCACCAAACCAGTGTTATAAGAAATGCTAAAGGGTCTTTTATTGATGATGAAGAAAGATAAAAAATATGAATGATAAAATGGTGCAAATGGATTAATGCTCTATTCAAAAGGCATAGGGTGACTGAATGAATAACAAAACAAGACCTTTATACATGTTGCCTAAAAAAGACTCACTTCAGGTCAAAATTATTCTTGCAAATCTTCATTTTTATCACCAGAATATTTTCTCCTTGTTTTCAGATAGCCAACCTTTGTGGCTCCATGCCAGAGAAGCTTATATGAAATAGAGATATAATATTTGACACATTGTACTAACGTGTCCTTTTCAACCTTCCTTATACAATGAAAATATCTTCTAAAATATTGCAGAGAAAAATAGAAAAAATCAGTCTTTGTTATTATTTATGAATGTTAGCAAATTCATCAGTTAACATGCTCCAGTTAATTTTACACACAAACTCTTACTTACCTGAAAATGTCAGCAGCTTTGTACAATTTGATCTCAGGTGGATTTTCAAACAATTATTTCTGCTAAACCAGGTATGGTGTTTGGCAGAACTGGGAATGCTCACTTTTCTTCAACATTTTTGTTTAATTATTCTGCATAAAACTGGGGCTATGATTAGCTGGTTTGGTCCCATCTACATTGTCACAGATTAAGTATTCCTACTATATTTTAAAATCTCTTATTAATAAAAAAGGCGTCAAATGAAAGTTGAAATATTCATACTTCTTATTGTGTGATAAAATTTCCCATTAGAGTTAAATATCTGGACCGTATATCCTAGATCACTTGGGAGATTTATTGTTTAATAATCTATTTTTAAATAAATTATAAATCAGTTCGGTGACTAGTTTGGTTATTTTCATAAATCATGCAAATCTAACTTTTTTATTCTTACATAATTTTTGCATATTGATCTTATGAAAACAAGATGGATTCTTACTTAGAAATAAACACAATCTCTACAGACTAGAGTTTGATACTTAATAACTGATCAGTGCTTCTCACGTTTGCTTGTGCATACCGGCCACTCGGTATGTTACTGAAACGCAAAGTCTGAGACACAAACTCGTGCAACTGTCCTTAGGGCGACCGAGGACAACTCAGCGGGAGCTTCTCAGGCGTCACACGCAGTTCCCACGCAGGGTGAGTTTGCCGTGAGCCAGGTGAGGTCACGCCCCAGGAAGAAGGAGATCACTGGAGGCGGACCCGTCTCTAACACGTGTGAACTGCTTCGTCTCGGACAGATCTTAACTTCTCTCAGTCAGCCTGCCTTCTCAGTGCCTCACATACTCCTGGGCACTTGACGACCAGCGATTAAGATTTCAAAAGAGACACAGGGTGTCAGTAAGGACAGCTCTAATTCAATTCAGGCAATGACATTGAACCAATGCTGAGATACAGGGAAGGCTGACACCAAACCGTCATTAACATGAACCGTTCTGAAAGTTAAGGAAGAAGTTACGTGGCATATACACAGTGGCATTACTGGCTGGCACCTTTGTCTGGTGGCCTTCAGGTAGCAGCAGATAGATTTTTGGTTCATTTAGAATGTTTTAGTAGACAGAATGTAATGGTTGTTTGTGGCTGAAAATTCTTAATTGTCCCTCAGTTCTAGAAGTCCATGCACGCCCACTCCCCACTTTGACCTCTTCCAATTAAGCCAGAGAAAGCGCCGTGGTCGGCCACGTGTGTGCCGCCCCGCAGAATAGCTCCGCTACTGTGCCGATAATTGCACGATTTGGTTGTTAATGGAAGTGGAGATCGAGAAACCAGACATTTCAGGGATTAAATAAGATATCAAATGCCTGCTGTTGGGAAGTAGTCCAAGGTCATGACTTTAAAAACATCCAGTGATGCACCGTGAGCTGCCCAGACCCAGACGCAGTGGCTCCCACTATCCGGAGGACAGAGTGCGGAGCCCGCCACCCACGAGAAAGGCAGCGCAGCAGCCGCTTCTGTACAAATCCTCGTTGGGGGGTATTTGCTGTGCTTCGAATTGGGTAATTAATCATATTAGCCGCACCGCACGTGATACATGTCAGAAACCGCAACATGTCCGCCTCGTGACAGCTACTGTTCCGTTACTGATGATGGGTGTGACGTGCGTAACAACTTTCTCATCTTTCTCGCCTTCAAAGCGACTGGAACTAAAAATTAGTTTGCATCACTCGTTTCTGTAAAGCCCTCGATAAGCACTCGTTTTTTAAGGGATGTGTCTCTAAAGGTTGATAATTAAGTTTACAAGACATAAAATCGGGCACAGGCTCTGGTTCTCATGTGTGTGCACGTGTGTGTACGTCCCCATAAAAACGTTTGATAGTGATTTTGTCACGAAACCAATCTCGAGGTTTCCTCTGTTACAACTGCATTCTGGTGCTTGCTTCTGACTGCCTCTGAGTTTCAGGGAAAATACAACATGAATCATTTTTCAAAAGATCGGGACTTCTTACATGGCTGCCCCTCCATTGTGAACCGTATGTGTGCACAGATTGTAGGGACATATAGTCAGGTCTGATTCACAAAGCCTCCCTTCTTTCTCCTCCACTGGGCACCATAACGAAGCGGGGCTCTGGCTACAGAGCCATGTGGGTCGTCCTTTGAGGCTCTGCCACCAGCAGAGACTGCCATGGCTGAGCACCTGTTGTTCAGTGGCAGGAAGGGACAGATGGGAGCAGGTTTGTAAACCCACAGACTGTCCCACGTGAAAACTGGCTTCCGCTTCCCTAAGTCCAAGCTCAGTTTTCCCCAGGGAGCTGACCTTCCCGAATGCATGGTGGCCAGCTGCACTGTTACTGATCACGCCGCCCTCTGGTTTTTAATGTGCCCGACATCAGCAGGGCTCATTCAGGCTACAGCGCAGTGATCCTCAGTACTGTGTCAGGACACGAGCACACGAACCACCCGTGTATTCTAACCCGTGGACCCGGAGGTGGCCGATGAGTAAGAAAAGGTGCCAGGAGCAGAGCACGTTCATACCGTCAACACCACCCACGGTTTGGTCACGTGTAAAAACGGACACACGGCGAAGACAGGGATTTCAAAGAGCCTCATTTCCACTCATCTCGTCTTTTCTTTTTAGGGTATCTGTCTCGGAGGACGGCAGCCTGAAGATACACAATGTGACCAGGTCAGACGCGGGCCCCTACACCTGCATTGCCTCCAACCAGTTCGGGGTGGCGAAGAACACAGGCAGCCTCATCGTGAAAGGTACCTGGGCCCCCCATGGGGGCTGGCGAGCCTGCCCGCACCGGGCACACCCCCTCCCACCGCATGTGGGAAACGTGTGAGCAGGGTCCGTGCTCACGAACTGCATGGTCTCTCCCCCAGGGGCCTCCCGCAGCCCACAGGAACACGTGAGCACTTCACAGGTGGAATGCGGTCGCTGGGTAATTACACAGAATTAAAACTGGTGCTTAACATATCAGGATCTTCACAGATGCCTCTGGGGGGGGGCCTGGATGCTTCGATAAGGTCAAGGGACAGTATTTTTCAGAAAGTCTGATTTTGCACGGCACTTTTACCTGGGCACGGGGCTGTTTGGTTCATGACCGGCTTGTTCGGCTCTACAGCCCCAGGTGCCTGACTGGTGCGGTGCAGACACTCTTCCGCTTTGATAAGCAGCTCTTTTCAGGGAGGAGAAAACCAAAGTGTTGGTGTCCAGGCAGGTCCCTGCCATAGTCCCGTCACGGCGAACGGGGTCACACCATGGGGGGACAGGAGCACACACCGCACTCGGCAGACCTCACCGGAAGCCGAGTCACTTTGCTCGTTCCACCGCCTCCTGGATGACAAAAATGCTGGTCTTGATAAAGGGTTTAAGCGCTGATTAAGCCCAAATGATTAGATTCAGCCACTGGCGCTTTATCATCGTTTTTTATTAAAAACCAATGTCTTCGATACAAAGGGGGCGGCTGGGCACTTCAGCTGTCCTGTCCGCTGACCCGGGAACCTAGACACCCGGTCCCCGTGCGAGGCCCTGCCGGCCCTGTCCCCTCCTCATGCTGACGATTGTCTGGAACACAGGGCACGTGGGGCCCGTGGGACCTATGTCCACCAGGGCGGCGCTGTTTCCCTCCCCCAGCGTCACACTCTCCTCAGAGTCTCAGGACAGGGGTGGGCTTCGTGCCCCGAGGAGCGGGCGTGCGCTGAACCACAGGCGTTCCTTCCTGCAGCGGCTGCTCGGTAGCGCCCTGTGCTGACATGTGTGACTACTTCACGCGGGAGTGAATGACGTGCTGTTCATAAATGGAGAAGAAGGGAGACTTCTCACTTCATTTCAGTTGAAGAAGGGGCGGAGGCTTCCTCCCTTTTCCTCGTCCGTGCCCAGCAGACGGTTAAAACACGCGGAGGATAGCAGTCTGGAAGGCTCTGGTCACCTTCCCCAGGACGGAGACCTCGGGTGGGGGTTCCGGTGTGAAGCTGCAGGACAGAAGTCCTCTGTGGCAGAGAGGCAGGTCCTCGGAGAGAGCTCCGGCACCGTACGGGGAGGATGTGTGAGCCGGACCGACGGTTTGGGGGCTGAAACGCAATGTTGGAGGTGGTCCTTCCGCTCCATATTTTAAGGAGAAGCCGGCTCCTGGGCAGACGGGGCTGGTGAGGAGTTTCCCGTCCTCACCCGGGTCTTGGGCTTTCGGTGTCACACCGCCGTCCGTGAGCAGTTAATGGGGGAGAGAGAGGGGGGACGCACCACCTTGGAGAACCTCGGCGGCAGCGGGGCGCGCTTCGTTCTAAGACAGTGGCCTGGTGACTCAGAAGTGCAGCGCGGCCGTGCATTCTGCTGGAAGGCTTCCGAGCTCTCAGGATGGAAAAACTGAGTGTACCGGGGAGCGTACTCAGCTCAGGTGCGTTTGTTCAACCATTTGCTTGGCTATTAAGAGTGTGGTCACCTGGTTGTATGTTCAAACAGGTTAGTGTGTGTGTGTGTGTGTGCGCGCGTGCACACACGCTCATCTATTATGTCCATCTCGCTGTCATTGCACAGTCAAATACAATTTTGTTTCTCCGACCGGAATCAGCAAATGCTGACCTCCTGCTAACAGGGTGGAAAAGAGCAAGTGAATGAGCGATTTCAGTAACACTGACAGGACAGCCATCTCCCCTTGGATTTGTTCATCAGCCTCGGTTACACAAGAAATGCGGTCGTTCCACAGCTTGTGAAAAGGAAATAGTTAGGAAGGCAAGACAGTTTTAGCTGATAAGGCTTATCTGTGTGAAGAACACTTTGAAATTGTCCGCCCCACCTGCGTGGGATTTCTGTTCCACTGGTGCAGCAGGAGAAGCCCCTTCCCACGCAGGTGTGACGAACACGGGGCGTGCCAGCCTCGCCGGGGCTGCAGGGCCATCCAGCGTCTCCCAGGGACGCCTTCCACAGGCACCAACCGGGAGTCACGGGAGAGAGCGCCGCCGGTTTTCACGCGGGAGGACCTGGGTCAAAATCACTGTGTGACTTACACCAGGAGGTGTATGAAGATCGCATAAGAGGGGAAATTATTCGATCTGGCATTTGGCAAATTATTAAAACACAGAGGAACAGCGGGCTATAAAAATGATCTTGTTTTCAGGCGACATTTGGTTTTGTTTCCCCACCGGAGAAGTTTCGGACGTCCAATTATAAGCCTCATTGCTTCAGCATTATTTTCAACGGGAATGTCGGAACTTGGAATAGCGTATCTAATGCGCGAATACGTTTATCGCTGTTCATTTCGCGGTTTGCTCTTTGTGGGAGTCTCTGTTCTGGCAGCCCTCGCTGGCCTCCCCGGGCTCCCCGGCAGGACCAGTGTGCACCCTGACACAGCTCCACCCTCGACCAAGAGACACCCTCGTCGGGGGGGGATTGGAGGCGCTGGGGCTGAAGGAGGCAGGAGGCGGTTTGAAGGACCGGGGTGTTGAGCCGGCCTCAGCGAGTCCGCCACCGGCGCGCTTTCCCAGGCTAGCGTTTCACACCTCACCGGCCACTCTGCACAGAGCACCTCAGAGCATTCTACTCCGGCAAAGACTTCGATTCAAAATTATTAACTGCAGGGAGTTTAGGGTGAAAAAATATTTAGTGAGTTTTGGTACCAGCTGGAAATGAAATTTTCTCTCTCCCTCCAGTGTCGACAATAATGCTGAGTGGATGTTTTTTAGGGTATAATTGTATTGTATTGTGCTTTTTTCTCTTTACCATTTACCCCCTTTATACCCTCTCCCCCCTGCATCCACCCTCCTCACTCCTAACTACCGTTTATTAGATGTGTGCTCTGTCCCAGGCCCCGAGGTGCCCACTCACACGGGGAGACTGAGGCACAGAATGCTGGAACTTCCTGCTCACGGTCCCGGTGCTAAGAAGCGGCAGACTTACCCCCCCTCATCTCCCGGCACATTCGTGTTAAAATAAGTGCAGGAGACGTTGTGACCCTGTGTCTTGATCAGGTGACACTGATTAAGCCTGGGGCATCACTGTAACTTGAAGGATTGGTACTTCCTCTAACTATTTCAGTGTTTGTTCATTATGTAGAGTCTGCTATTTCCTTTCCCTCTTTTTCACTTGAGGTTAAGTTTACCTAAATCTGAAGTGGACACTGGCTGAGTTTTGGCAAACCCATCCACCTGTGTACCCCCAAAACCGTGTTCACCCAGAAGACGTCTCCCTCACCCTGCAGAACTGTCCTGTGCCTCCCACCGGCAGGCCACCCTCCACCCCGCCACGAATTCCTCCCCCACAGCCTCCCAGCCGGTGCCTGGCTTCCTTCCCTCCCCAGAAAACACCCACTTTCCACTTCCTGTCTCCATTAAAAATAAGCAGGTGATCATGAGAATTAGTGGGGTGATTACATCGTAAGGCATAAAAATGCCAAACCATTCCACAATACACCTAAAATGAAGATAACCAATCTAACATCACATACCAACTATACTTCGATTTAAAAACACAGCTGGCACATAAAACGATGGAAGAGCACAAGATGATAATTGAACCAGTAGCAGCCCTTGTCTGTGTGGTCGAGGTGCCGTGATTCTATTTCTAAAGAGCCAAGTGGTTACTTAGAGTCCAGGACGGTTGTAGGAATGAGTGTGTCCTTCCTACGGAAAAGGGCCTCAGGCCGAGTTCGGCCTTCAGTCCCCAGACCCTGAAAAGTGAAGGAAGCCGGTATCCGGATCTTCCAGGCAGGGAAGGCAAGGTGGTGAAGAGACAAATAATCGGACGAATCAAACGCAGCCTGAGCCTCCTCTTCTGGCTCTGACTTTCTCATCTGGCGTCCCCTCACCAGCGTCACCTCGGAAGAAAAGGTCCTTTTCCTAGCAGGCCCTGCAGGAGGGCAAAGAGCCCCCTGACCCCTCTCCGCCCTGTGTGGGCGTTCTCCGCCCCCACTGCGTGCGCCAGCGCAGGAAGGAGTGGACGGCGTGTCGGGGTCACTCGGCAGAATCCACAGCACCTGCTGGGGCCAGAGTCATCAGGCCCAGGTTGGTCACTGGGGAATCCGAGGACCCGTTTCCATCGCACACTGCCACTTGCCGAGGAAATGCAACTGTCACCTCGTGGGATCCTCAGACACGCTCTTCGGACCCCTCGAATTTTAGGTAACTGCTTTCTCTCACGGAAGTCTTCATGCGTTTCTTCGGCTCTGGGCTTCTTGGTCTTTTGTCCGGGAAAAGGTCCAGCCATTGTTAATAGAACGAGACCAGTGTGCGTGACATGGATGTGACCTGGCAGCCAAGGGGAGCGGACTGGAACGCACATGCGTGAACAGTGATGCCGCCTCTGTACTGATCGGCGGGGGCGGCAGATGCCCTGGAACAAGCGTGGGTACTGTGTGGCCGTCACATTCAAAGGACCGAGTGAGCAGAGCAACAAACCTGCATCTAAGTTTGTGTTGAGCTTGAACCTTCTTCTGCAGAAACTATTCTGATGATTCAGAAGGATTTGGGGGACGATGCAATGAGTGCATCACAAATAAAAGTGTGGCACAGACGCTTCAGAGATGGTTGAGAGTCTGCTGAGAGCGACCCACGTTCTGCAAGGCCTGCAACAAGCAGAACCCCTGGGAATGTTGAATGCGCACAGGCTGCCGTCCACAGAGACTGGCGACCGGCAGCGTGAGCACTGGAGGCTGATCTGGGGGTTCCGGGAACTGCTGTGCCTGAGAGTTTGACGCCCGCTTCTTGGCATGAAAAGTGTCGAGGCAAAGTTTGTTCCATGGTTCTGCTACCAGAGCAGAAGGAGCATC